TAATTTATCTCTTATGATTCTCTAATCCTTATTAATCTCTTCACATTAAAACATGTATAATGGCAATGTTGTATAATATTTAGTGACCACAGAATATCTCGAATTGTAATTCGTATTGCATATTTCTTCCTTTTTCTTTTTAAAAATATATTTGTATGAAGAATGATAAAGTCTTAAGCGCTTTAATAATTGTGTTCACTTTATATTCACCTGCATATCCTTCCGATTCTTTACTTATTTTTATATAACTCTAACAATGTTATCCGAATTTATGTAGATAAAATTTCGACGGAATGTAAATCGTTGAAGAAGAAAAAGTCATCCTTTTTAATCTCTTTATGTGGCTACACACATTGATGCAATTAAGCTTTTGAGAGTACATATTTAAGATAGCATTATTCAATAGAAAAAAAATTTAGATGTAAATAAGTTTATTCCAATAGAAGGAAATATACGCACTTGAGAAACGTTTTCTAAGTTAATATAGAAAACATTGTTCCCTAAAAGATCCCTAAATCTTGCAGCTCCCATGTTTTGATTGCCCTAGTCATAGGAGTGCATACATTCTGCAAATTCTGTTTATTATGTTATAGTAATTATTTTCATTCTTATTAAAGACATTTTAAATATCTATGGTACATGACGAATGGCAATCATTTTGTCCTTCTTACTATGCACTATATACTGATTACCTTCTTTAAGTATCCTTGCCTATTCTAAATCTAATAGTGTCTGCTTAACCTCTCCTTTGTCATTCTACATTTCGTACTATTAATGTAGCAGGAAGGCTATTAAAGATTCTATATATTGTTGAACGTACTTTATCTATGCTTTATTCCCATTCAGTCTTATTAATTATGAGATTAAATTACGCTAGAGGGTAGAACAATTCAATTCAATGAGGATAGAGGTAATTACACAGTCGCTTAAAAATGATGCAAAATATACGAACATGCTGATCATGTTTATGAAACATATAAACATCCAACTTTAGTCACTTGGTATTCCGATTCACATTCGAGCGCCGTATTTTTGCGCAGAATCTTAAGTTGCAATTATTTCACTGTGCTAT